GATCACCGAGACACCCAATTGGATAAGCTTGGGAAGCTTTGAGGTGGCGTCCACCTTTCACCCGCTTCAGCCCTTTCGAATCCTCATAGATAACAGCCATCTCGACTTCCTCACGCTCTGGAAGCCACTTAGGCTTGAAGTCTTCGAGGTCTTCGACACAGTTGTGGCCTCACCAGTGGAAGGGATGTGGAAAGACCAGGGGGAGTGAATAATTGATGTTTGGGACACTTTATTGGCAACCAAAAGAATTCAAAGAGTTTGTTGAGCTGAACCGTGATACTCGCATAAAGCCATGTTGGCTTGTCAGAATTAGCTCCATATCTCCCCATGGATATTGTATGCTTCCACATGGTGAGCTTGCCCATCATCTCTTGAAAAAGAGGGTGAAGTTCCATCACACTACCTTTCGGTTGTTCCAGAATCCACATGCACCCCAAAGCATGGGCCACCATCAAGATAACCAGCGTCCGGGCCAGCAAAAGATTGCCCAGAGCAACACTGGGATATGACTCTTCTCCCAGTGGTCTTGAAGCGCTCCGCTTTGTCGTTCCATGCGACCTCAGACTGAGACACAGACCATTGAAGAGACAGAGAGGTGAACAGGCAGCGTTTGCAAAATCCCTTGGCCCTGGTTGCTTATATATCACGTGGACCTTTCATGGGAAGTTGATGAACACCAACCCTTGTTTTTTCCAACAGGATTCTTCCCATAGTTTCCTGAACGCATAAAAGCAAGATGCATAAAGACGAATGAAGAGCAAACTGGAGCCGCCAGCCACCCCGAGCCGGGTGATAGTCTGCAGGTGTGGTAAAGAGCAGCAACAAATCCCGCGTTGGTGGTCAAGTCCATTACCTCGCCCCCAATTTCCACATCCATCGCAATTGCCTTGCGCCCCTCCTGCGCCAGCTTGAACAGATATTGGGGAGCGACATTTTTCCATTTCCAAAAGCTTCCCAAACCAATACAAAAGGGTGCCAAACAACAATTGCCTTTTAGGTCCCTTGGTCTTTCTTCGGGTTGTGGGAAAGCATTTTGGAACGCCAAAGACACTCAAATCTACCAAAGTGTTTTTTTGGAAACGCGAGCGCGTCCTTCAGCTCTGACCACGTGACCGCACATTGTCCAGCAAACAGCTCCACGTGCTGAAGCTTGGAAAACTCCAGGAAGGGCAGGCCGAACACCATGTTCACCAACACCGCTACAATCTCGGTAGCCCATGGACATGTGATGGTAAAACTTGCCCCAATGAAAAGAGAGCCCTTTCAACAAAAGTTTCATAATCATTGGGAAACATGTGATACAGGCATCTCGCACCTTCATATAGGTTCTGGAAATTTGACGCCTGTCAATCTGACCCCCACAAGTCCTGTTTGAACCTTGAAACTAGTGGAGTTAGAGTAGGACTTGTGAGGGTCAGATTTATAGAGGCCTGTCGACTTTTTTTGTCATTATGCCGAGGGTCCGCTGGAGCACGAAGCATTCTCAGGCCCGCGATGATGGACTGCCGCTTCACCTCGCGGTAGTTCATTTGCTCACCAGCCACATCTGGTGTTTGCCGTCTTGAGAGCCTGTAGACACTCTTCTGTGCTGGAACTCGTGGTTTTGCCCATCTTGAAACCTCTACAAAGAAGGACACTAGGCTTGTTCAACAGGCTTGAGATTGGAGCAGGCTATAGGCCCACACATGGAAATCGACTGAAGGGGTTGGGGAATCTAAACACCATCAAAAGTTCGTACACATGTTACGCATGGAACTTGAAGACGTTTGACTGAGTTATATATAGGTCATTCTTTTCGGATGATCCTGGGCGGCAATACATCCAAATCTTTCTATATGAGCTCTAAAGAGATGCTTTGCATCCACTGCGTAGCGCATTGCCATCAATGCTGCAGCCCCCCCCTCAGGCACACCCCGCCGGCAACAACAAGCGTTTGGTTCATGAGTTTTGCAAGTGGACATTGTTTAGATCACTCATCTAAAAGAATACCGGTGAGGGGCCTAAAATCTTCTGCGTGGCCTTCAGGGTTCAAACTATGGGACAACACCTGCCTTAGCGCAGGCTTTGATCCACGCGTCGCGTGGACCACCATATTTGGCCCATGACACTTGCCCCTTAGAGGGGCCCCTCACGTAGAACGCCCTCTTGTTGAGCAAGACTTCGATCTTTGCTGCACCTTTGTGGACCGTGTAGCTGTGTTTGCCAAAGTGGCGGCGGTTTGGATCAGGCCGAGCGTTCACTGGCAAGGACTCCAAGCTGTATCCATGGTACTCCGAGGCCTGGTTGGGGGGAGAGGGGGCTCAATACCCCCAATCCAAGGCGATCGATGACCTTCTCAAGAGGTGGCCTGAGGACCTTTATTTTTAGGAACAAAAAAGGGCTTCAGGCCACCTCTTGAAAATAGTGTGAGTTGTGAGCTCTACAATTTGTTTCCCTTCAACGGCTTTGTATGTATACATTGAATGATCTTTAAATGATCAAACTATATGTGTACATCACATGTTGCTTTCCAATGGTTGTGGACCTCCTCATGTCCAGCCTTGTGGGAACCAGGAGGGCCAAGAGAAGGGTTTGATGCACCACCCGAAGGCTGTGATGGATTCGAATCGCCCTGTGATGCGTTGGCAGCACCACCCCCAGTAGCATGATGAGCACCAGCGCGGTTGGCACGGCGTTTGTTGGCACGGCGAAACGAAGCCTTCTTGGCCTTACTCTTGTCCTTCTTCTTGTTGTCCTTCTTCTTGTTATTCTTCGGCTTGGACTTGGACGCAGGCTCATTGGTACCCGCCTCATTTTT